ATAGCGGGATTTCTCATAAGCTTCCGGGTTAGAGGCCCGCTCCTTGAAAGGGGCGGCTCTACCCTTTAGCTTAGTGCGGATGTTGCCTGTAATCCATGGCTTCTGGTTGGGGTATGTACATACGGTCACTGTGGGGACGACGTCATCGATGCACTTATTGATGAAGCCAGTGACTGATGTGGTGTATTCCTCAATGCTATATGAAGAATCCCGGAACATATTCCAGTCTGTGCTAGCAAAACAGTCCTGTAGCTTAGCATCTGCGTCATCTGACCACTTTTTTATTAACCGAGTCACTGGTGCCAGTCACTGGTGCCAATATGTATATTAACTGAATATGCTTGTCAACAACAGCCAGTGTTTATTTTTTTGAATTTGTTTTACCTGTAGCCTATTCTGACTACTGTTACAGTCAATCTAATGCGTTCATAATAACACAAGGCTACAAAAACAAACTGAAGTTATAGGCTATTTATTACATTGGTTTTCCAGCTCCAGGTAGGCTACACAAGTGGCACAAATTGATTTGCAATGACTCCAATGATATCGTCATTTCAACATTTTTATTGTATCAAATGGTAGCCTACAATGGCATATACATGTATTTATAGGCTACTTGATGGCCAACATAGGCAAATGTATAATTCTCCACATTTAGCCTAATGTCAGTTTCATTGAGGACTTTTCCCCATGAAAAGAACCACGCAATGGAGTTCCAAGAACTGAGCATGCATAAAACACTTTGCTTGATACCGTTTTCTTTAAGCAATCAACATTAGAATGCAGTTTAAACCACCTCGGAGCGGATTTATGTAAAGCGCTCTACAGCGTCCAAAGTTGTTTTCCAGTGCTTTGTCTCCATTATGAATGCAAAGAAGCCAACCTTACTGAAGCACAAATTCGTATCACTCTTTATTGGTCTAGGCGTACTAATCACTCTTGACCTGTCATCCTCTACTCTCTTCACTGCCTCAGCATATGACACCTTCTGTTCTACTCTGACCCTGGCAACCTCAACCTGTCTCTCTCGCACCAGGCATTTCTGATCCCCAGCAACATGGGCACCCCCACAATTGACACACACTGTTTTTTCCACCGATACAACACATTCCTTTGTCCCATGCCCTCCTGTACACTTCTCACATCTCAGAATCTTCCTCCTACACAACATGCTGCAACATGACCATAAGCTTGGCATCTGAAACACCTTAGTGGGTTCGGCAAAAAAGCTCTCACTGGATAACTGACATATCCTAACATGACTTGATCAGGTAAAGACTGCTTCAAAACTCAAAAGGACAGACAGTGTCTTCTCAGTTTCACCACGCTTGCCACCGGGTCTGCATCACAACAAATGGCGGGCGTCACAGACACAAGGAATCTTCAATTTCAGTTGCTCCACCTCAACACTTAACGCCACCCCAGTACTCACTCCTTTCAAAGGCGCCCTGCTCTGGAGAGCAAAGCAAGTCACAGGTCTTGTCCCTAGTCGCGTGGCGCGAAGCGTCAGTTCCCTTTTAACGGGCGTAACAAAGAAAATGAAGTCCATCTTCGCCGATTTAACAGTACCAACTTATTTTCTACCCAGCCTGAGCTGACATATGGATCAGCCAAAAGGCAGGGATCCACTCCCACTGGGCCCGAATCATCCTTTGCATGACCATCGCGGCTTGGCTCAGACTCGGAGGTCTTCACCACACCTGCCACCACAAGTAATTCACCCTCACTCTCGTCAGGTTCAATTTCTGAGCCATCAGAGACAGCAGAATACGGTTTGTACTTGGCACCATTCGTCAACAACTCATAGCTTCCCACTGCATTCGGCTCTTCTCCTTCTTCCTCACGATCCATAACCACGTCTGTCCGTTCACCACGCTCACGCCGCACCTTCATCCGATGTACTGCTTGCAGAAAATGCACTGATGGCCTTTCTCCAATACCCACCTTCTGTTCCTTAGTCCAATTTACTAGTCTAGCTATCTCTGGCCTCTCCATGTTCCCAAAACGTGCCACAGTCATCAGCCAGGTCTCCTCCTCGTCATCCATCTTCCAAACAAGCATCTCGCTACACCCGCACCAGCATTTCGCTACACCCGCAATAACATCTGCTAAACATGTGTATGTGACAAATAACATTTGATTTGATTTTGATTTGAAACAACCGAATCGGCGTAATAAATACCTCCCTGGGCTATGTCTTCTAGATTTGGCACACACTCTTTACACAGCATTTCGCCCAGTGGGCGGTCCTGAACGGAATCCATTAGTCTCCATCTCACCTCTAAGCTGTGCGACATTCGTCATCAATTTGTGCACCATGCGTGTCAGTTTAGCATCCCTCCCCCTCAACTTTTCTCCTTCAAGCACAAATGTTAGGTATCCAGAAGCACCTAGACACTGTTTTATTCGCCTTTTTTATGTCCTCACACTGGATATTGAGAACAATAATTAGGGTAACAGGTTATAATGGCCATATCATTTGATTGTGCCACCACCAACCTCCAAGTTTAGCAGAACACCTGTCATCACATCACATTGCCCTACTGATCTATGTCTAACCCTACTGCAGGAAATGATTGTAATGTAAAAGAAATCAAATAAAACTTTGATAAGATTATGGCTCCAGTAGCATCGGCCTAACTCAGATTTCAGTCTTGTTTGAGGATCATCAAAATATTGCTGTTATTATAGGGATTTCCTATAATAAAAATGAGTTTTGCATAGTTGTTAAGTAAGTAAAGGAATTGAAGGGATAAATAATAGATAACCTGTCTGCACAGCCTCTGCCCACACAGGCAGGAGAGCCTGTTGTCTGGTGTCTGTCTGTCCAGCCTGGTCTCATAGACTAGACGTAACATAGTACATGTAAATCATTCAAATTAGTATGGTATGTTACATTTGGTATGGTATGTTACATTTACATTTTAGTCATTTAGCAGACGCTCTTATCCAGAGCGACTTACAGGAGCAATTAGGGTTAAGTGCCTTGCTCAAGGGCACATCAACAGATTTTTCACCTAGTCGGCTCGGGGATTAGAACCAGCGACCTTTCGGTTACTGGCACAACGCTCTTAACCACTAAGCTACCTGCCGCCCGTATGGTTAGATAAGACAGATGGTTACTTGTTCTGGGTGGCTGGGTGGGTGTATAACGCGAAGTCTAGCAACCCAAAGGTTCCAGAGTTCAAATCTCATCACGGACAACTTTAGCATTTTAGCTAAATAGCAACTTTTCAACTACTTACTACTTTTTTGCTACTTTGCAACTACTTAGCATGCTAGCTAACAATTCTCCTAACCCTAACCCTTCCCCTAACCTAAACCCTTTAACTCCTAAACTTAATCCTAACCTTAAACCCTAATCCTAAATCCTAGCCTAGCTAACGTTAGCCAATTGGCCACCTAGTTAGAATTCGTAACATATCATACGTTTTTCTAATTCATAACATATTGTACGTTTCGCAAATTCATAACATATAATACGAATTCTAATTTGTAACGTTTCATAATAAACGGAGTGTCTCGGATTTACATACAGAATAATACAAAATGCACTGAAACCAGGTTGGTCAACTGTCTGTGTGGCTCTCCAACTGTCATGTCTAGATGGAATACAGCTTTTGTCAAATTGACCTCAAAATAAAAAATAAAACATTTCATTTTAGCTAACCCTAACTCTTTCCCTAACCTTAACCTAATTATCTTAACCTGCAGCATAAATTCTCCTGAACCTGCTACGAAAATACAATTTTAACAAAAGCTATATTCCTTCTAGACAAAACCAACTTCGAGTGACGACTCCCATGAAGTCACAATCACTAGCCTTGTTTACACCATGCGCTAACTATCATGTGAGTTACGTGATCTGATCAATATGATCCAATCACTATCTGATGAAGCACAATATGAATGTGGACAAGATCAGAATGTGGACAATATCAGGGCGCATGTTAGCACCAGCAGGTATAAAGAGGGCTACTGTCAGCTCTTCTTCATTAGACTATCTACAGTGTGTCTGTGTCGGCTTCTGTTTCTGCGGGGAGGATGTGTCGCAATGTTAATTAGTTTCTGTTGAAGCCACACTTCCCTTTTTACCTTCTTTGTATTTGCGCCTAAAGAGACAGTTGAAAGAGAGAACCACGAACATGTAGCCTAGGTTTTGCGTTGATAATCTCAACATTTATCCGTTTAAATAAATTGTCATCAGAAAAACAGAAGAAAACCTGGATGAAGTATGCAGTGCTATTCTGATAACAAGATACGAGTCGAGAATGGTGAGCGCAGTGGAGAAACCAGAATTGAAAACTGCGGTGCGAAGTGAAGGTAGGCTTGAGATGAAAATGTGCTTGTCTCTACATTAGTCCTTGAAATAGAATACTGTAGGCCTACTTTGGTATCAGCATCTGCATGCGTTTGGATTGTCAGCCATGTTTTCTTAAATATGTCCTTGTTTTTGCTTGAGCAGTGCAATAAAGTTTTATCAAATTTGACATGAGTAATTATGTGCACTGAAAGGCTTCTACAAATATTGGCAGTTGTTAGGCTATATAACATAATAACTTTATTTTTCCAAGAGGGAACTTCTAATGTGATTGTCATGTAGGCTATGATTTTTCAGTACATTAACATAATTGCAAGCATTGTGTGAGTTTGTGACTATTATGATGATTACCTACTTATGGATTGATTTGAGTTAGTGTGTGGTGTCAATAATTTTCAAATTGCAGCTGTTTATTTCAATTATGTAATAATTTGCTATTCCAACCAGCTGTACTAGATTATAAAGAGGGGTTACATGTTCCTGCATGAAATGCCCTGTAGGTTACAGTAGCTTCACTGAAACTATCATTTGGATGGACCTGGTTTGGAAGTATTATGTCTATATAAGCCTACTGATGATATAATACTTACGTCATGATTTGGGTTCTCCCAGCTGATAATTATTGACGTAGGCTATTCAATTAATAGGTGAGCTGTTGAGTGAATAGGTGAGCAGTCTGATGGAGAGCCCGTCTTCTACGACCAGGCGTCAGGCCTGGGTCCAGACCAGTCGACAGTGGCTCAACCTGGAAGAACAAGATCCACAGGGACCAGGACCGTACATCCATCCCTCTGCCCACCGCTCTACCCTACAACGACCAGGATATACCAGTCCTTCTGTCCCACGGGGACCACCATACACCCATCCCTCTGATCCACACCAGTCTGCATCAGAGGATGACGTTTTCTCAGATGGTCAGTTCTCATTTTGGTAGCTTGATAAAGAATTTACATTTGAGTGACATTGATGCATTACTATATGATATCTATGGGATAAAGTAATCAACAACAGGCAGAGGGTTAAAACTCCCTAACAACAACAACACTGCTTAGTCTGGTATTTACATTTGAGTCATTTAGCAGACACTCTTATCCAGAGCGACTTACAGTTAGTGAGTGCATACATTATTTTATTTTTTTTCATACTGGTATATTTATAACTCATAATATGTGGGCGGTTGGCCACTGCATGATGCATCACACATCTTTGTGACAAAGCACAGAAAAAAGAGTGTAGAAGTCTTAATGCTGAATGCTCACCCAGACTGTTCTATGTCTACTGTTTCCACAGGATGCTCTGCAGGAAAGATTGAGAGCTGGCTTCTGGGCTGTGGGTGAGTGAGCATGCTGTGAAAGGTTTGACTTTGAAATTAAACTTACAAGAAAGACTCAATAGGATGATGTGTCAGTCAGTGGCAACTGGCAAGTAAAAAAACAAAAGGTGAAGGGAAACCGCCCACCGTTTGGGGAAATATTACAGATGTGAATTCTGTTTAGAATATGGAGACAGGTCAATGGTCAATGCTCCAAAACAACTTGGTTCTAGAACTAGTTTGGTCCTATTTATACTATAGGGCGTTCTATTTTAGTACTTTGTGTTTATAGTCAAAAATTTGCATCATAGGAAATGGTACAAAAGTAGTGTTTGTTCTGTTGATTGGATGCAAACATCACTATTGTGCAATTTCAAATGTATTACTAATGATCATGGCTAACTTGGCTGTGACTGTATTGATCAAGTTGAGTCTGAAAATGTGGCTAAACTGGTGTGTGAACTTGGATGACCAGGCTGCTTTGTGGGCTTTATAGAATCTGATTTAAAATAATGTCAGATAAGAAATGTTGGGGCGTTCTTAAAACATATGTGGTTAACGTGACTTGATAATCTGACTGCTAATCACTCAGCCTGAGAGCATCTCCTATGTAGGAAGTGAACTGACTTTTAAAAGCTGTAGCTTTACTGGATAGACTGAGAGGATAGCTAGCTAGAAATAATGCCCATAGGTTTGATCCAGAGCCGTATAGTATACTGTGGGGTGCGAAATGATTGACACCCTTGATAAAGATGAGCAAAACTGACTGTATAAAATAGATGTATAGGGCGGCAGGTAGCCTAGCGGTTAGAGCGTTGGGCCAGTAACCCAAAGGTCACTAGTTAGAATCCCCGAGCCGACAAGGTGAACATCTGTCAAAATAATCTGTAAAAAATAGGTCACTTAACCCTTATTGCTCCAGGGTCGCCGTTGATAATGGCAGACCCTGGCTGTGACCCTACTCTCCGAGGGTGTCTCAGGAAGAGTTGGGATATGCAAAAAACACATATCTAAAACAGGGCAAATAGAAGCACCCACCAAATTATTATTATATATATTGTATGCTCAAAACATTTGGGAAATTATATTATTTTATACTAATACAATTGCTCAGAGAAAGAGATTTTGTTTAACTAGTAATAAAAAAAATCTCAAAAAGGTAGGGGTAAAAATGATTGACACCCCTGTTTTCAATACCTTTCAACACCTCACCTTGCAAGGATAACGGCACTGAGCCTTTTTCAAAACATGTAATTTTAGTTTTATGAGTTGGAGAACACATTTGGAGTAATCTTAGGCTATTCCTCTGTACAGAATCCTAAGATGTTGTTTTGGTGTACGTTATATATTTTCACTAGGCTGGAGACAGGCTCACAGAACTCGAGTCATCATCTGACTGTTGGTAAGTCTGACAAAGCCACCGTCACTGCAATCTACTATCAGCATGGATATCATGATATAATGTCCTATTGGTCCATATAAAACACTGATTATAGTCTCTCCTCTTCTTCTATTTGATCATCTATTCTCCTCTTCCAGAGTCTCTGCTGAAAGCCAACAGTTTTGAAGATGACCTGAGTCTGGGTGCCGAGGGTGAGGACAACAGAGTACATAAACCCAATGACACACACACCATAGTAAATAATCCAAGCAGGAAATAGCTTTGTAGGAAAAGTAGGAGACCATCATGGATGTTTTGGAAAAGGCTTTGTTCCTGCTTCTGTGCAACAGCCTCCCTCTTTGTTTTTGTTATTCCTATTTGAACTCATTTTCCATTACCAAATATGTTTAAAGAACATAGGCCTTTTATCCAATACTGAAGTCCATTATACCTGTTTGACTAGTGGACGCCTTCATAAAAAAAAAACAAGTCTGTACATGTTGGTGACATAGCACATCCTCATGGCTAAGGACTGCTTCTCCACTGCCAGTACACCAGGGACATGTACTGTAGCCTACTGTAGTTACACTGCAATAAAACAGTAGGCTCATTGTAGCATCAAACCTTAAGCCTTCACCTCTTCCATGAGCGACTGACATCCTGGTGCATGTGATTTAGCTGTTGACTGACGGACACTCTCCCAAAGATTGGACCAATATACAAAGAAATAATGAGAGCGTGTCTGCAAATAGAGGCGCCATCGCTCACTGGAGCCTCACAACACAAATGGCCAAATGTCACAGAGGTCTGGGAGGAAAACGCGCACACATAAGCATGAATGCAAACGCACGCACGAATGCGCACACACACACACACAGTGTTCTCTTTCCACTCAAACTTTTATTTTATGTTTTACAGCTAAAGCATTAAATGTTGAAGGAGTCTCAGAACTGGGGTAAGATAAATGGAATATAAACAAGAAGAATGTGTGGATTCATTACATCAATTATGCCCAAAAGTCCTTCCTATTCAGAGGGAGGTTTAGATTAGTCATGTTTGGTTGACGTGACATGAGCTTGACCTGCTTTTATCTTCCCACGGTGGTGCCTGCTGACTGTGTAGGGTGCTGCTTCCGCCACCCAAACATCTTCACAGAGGAGGAGCCACCACCAGGTCAGTTAGAGCAACCCACAAACTTTGGCATATGGCAAGCTATATTTCTGTTATAGAGTTTCTTTTTATAATCCCTCTTTATGCATTTTCCCAGCTACTAGTACATTAAATACGGTTACATTAACATATATCTGTTGAATACAGGCATGCTTCAACCATTATTACTATAATAATTCTGGTTAGTTTTTTAAGTTGTTTCATTGTTTATTTTTCGCCTGTCGCATGTTGATCTCATGTCTTTGTTCCTGCAGTACTCCCCGTCAGATGCTGGCTCTGCCCTTACTCCACCTCTGCCACAGTATTGCCTCCAGTGGCCTCTCCAACAGCACCAGTAAGACGTCAAGGTGAGTTAGGACCAACCACTATTAACCGTATGTTACACAGTCTTAACTATCATATAGTATATCAAATCTGTCAGTAAATCTCTCACTCCCCTCTCTCTCTTTCTATCTGTCTCTCTGACTCGTCACCTACACCCCCCCAGTGTGTCTGAGGTGCTGCAACTGTGTGCAGAGGATGCAGAGGAGACTCTGTACCAGTTGGGGTTCGGATGTGACGAGCCTAAGGTCACCGACCGCATCCCCACCCGTTTCCTCAACTTCCCCTCCCAGCTTCACGGTATCAACTTCCGCCTCTTCCTCCAGTCCCAACTGTACCGCCTCCGACAGGAAGACCCAGGACTCTCTCTAGCCAGTAAGACACAAACGTACACACGCACACAAACACACACACTCACACCAATGTGTCGGACTCCCACACACTACTGTGGTAATCACCATCATCATACACACCCACAACCAGGTATAGAGAGTCTCTGTACATGATTCAGCTTTCATTTACATAATAACTTGAGTTATGCAGCACTTTCTATGCAGTTCAAAGAGCTTCATCTCTAAATAGACACCTACATCCACAGACAGTGTCTATATGACTACATTTACATAGCACTGTCAGTATAATATGTTTCTCCACCAAGCAGAGTCTTAACATACAATAAATACATTATACTCAGTCTTTGCTATGAACAAGACACGTTAATGCATCTCTCATTGTCCTGTGTGTTAGGCAGCCAGCACATTCAAAACAAATGGTTATTATCTCTTTCAATTGCCCTGATGAACGTTTCTTCCCCCCTGCAGGTCGTTTCAGGCAGGTAGAGGTGCTAACAGCCATGGCCAATGCCTTCTACTCCCTCTACTCCCACGTGTCCCGCACACCCCTCCAGAAGCTCGCCCCTCCCGAGTTCAGCTTCTCCCCCACCGCCGACAGGCAGACTGGACGGCGCTTCATGGGAAGCGTTCGCAGCGAACCGAGGTCTCCAGTGGAGCGACTCAAGGACACGGTTTCTAAGATGTGCCTGTATACTGGCTCTGGTGGTTCCGCCCGGCTGGGCTCGGACTCTGCCTGCCGTGGTCCAGGACTCTCTTCCGGACCTGGGTCATCCCCCAAGAAGAGAAACAGCCTGCCTGACTTGGTGGGACTGGTCCTGGAGAACGCCAAGGCAGAGGCTATATCCAGAGACATGGAGGAGGATAATCAGGATACAGGGGACAGTAATGGGATGAGTGCTGCTGTGGACATGAGTGCTATCGTGAAGGACAGAGGGACAGAGACACAGGGACATAGAGACACAGTCAGAGGCAAGGAGTTGGACCAGGGATCGTCATCAGACAGGGATGGGGCTGATTTAGAGAGCGAGAGAGACACCGACAGAACTCGCAATCTTCGAGCATCATCACTTTCAGAATCAGGTCAGCTAGAACCCAGTAGTAGAAAGAAACGGGACTTTTGCCTTACGACTCCAAGTCCTACTTGTGAGGTTGGAGAAACTCAAAACACAATTCATCACACAGACTGGGCAGCGGTGGTGGCACCGGTTGCCAAGGTTACCCATGAAGTCACATGTCCTCAGATCGTTGAGAGTCTGCACCAGGCACTCTACAGCAGTCAACTACAACAGTGGAATAATAACACACAGATGGCGACCATTTTGTCATCTGTTGTGTCCTGTGAGAATGTCAGATCTGACCGATCCTTCACCACATCAGACACACTACACAAACCCAGGGAGGAGGAGCATTTAACTACCAGGAACTCAGCCAAGAGTTTAGAGGTCGTCATAACTCCCATTCCAAAGGCTGAGTCTGAGGGTGACTCCAGTTTGGGAGAAACTGGGACACTGGTGGAGTCAACGATCGTGCCCATAGAGCTCCCTAGTGGAAGGAGGTCCCCTTGTCTAATCACTGTAGCTGATGTGATTTGTAGTTTTAGTTCTGCAGACACACCTGAGATGGTTCTCACTCCCAGTGGTGGTACCACAGCAGTGCCTACAGCAGCCCAGTATTATCCAGGTGTATGGGGGATCAAGAGGTACCAGAGTCCTCTGAACCCTCCACCAATCCGGGCCCAAGGGGAGGCCTCCCACAGTCTTCAACAGGCCAACTCCTTTGAGCTAGAGGAGGTAAGTGACATAATTGTTTTGGATTTAACCTATATGGCACACTCTACTCCAGTCTCTGATTTCCTAGGGCTTATACACACATCTAGGTGGCGTAGTCGATTAGCTATCCACCCTTGGCTGCCTGACATTTAAAAAAAAAAAATTTATTTCACCTTTATTTAACCAGGTAAACCAGTTGAGAACAAGTTCTCATTTACAACTGCGACCTGGCCAAGATAAAGCAAAGCAGTGCGATAAAAACAACAACACAGAGTTACATATGGGGTAAAACAAAACAAAGTCAAAAATACAACAGAAATACATATCATATACAGTGTGTGCAAATTTAGCAAGTTATGGAGGTAAGGCAATAAAATAGGCTATAGTGCAAAATAATTACAATTAGTATTAACACTGGAATGATAGATGTGCAAGAGATGATGTGCAAATAGAGATACTGGGGTACAAATGAGCAAAATAAATAACAATATAGGGATGAGGTAGTTGGGCGGGCTAATTTCAGATGGGCTGTGTACAGGTGCAGTGATCGGTAAAGTGCTCTGACAACTGATGCTTAAAGTTAGTGAGGGAGATAAGTGTCTCCAGCTTCAGAGATTTTTGCAATTTGTTCCAGTCATTGGCAGCAGAGAACTGGAAGGAATTGCGGCCAAAGGAGGTGTTGGCTTTGGGGATGACCAGTGAGATATACCCGCTGGAGCGCAGACTACGGGTGGGTGTTGCTATGGTGACCAATGAGCTAAGATAAGGCGGGGATTTGCCTAGCAGTGATTTATAGATGGCCTGGAGCCAGTGGGTTTGGCGACGAATATGTAGTGAGGACCAGCCAACAAGAGCGTACAGGTCACAGTGGTGGGTATTATATGGGGCTTTGGAGACAAAACGGATGGCACTGTGATAGACTACATCCAATTTGCTGAGTAGAGTGTTGGAGGCTATTTTGTAAATGACATCGCCAAAGTCAAGGATCGGTAGGATAGTCAGTTTTACGAGGGCATGTTTGGCAGCATGAGTGAAGGAGGCTTTGTTGCGAAATAGGAAACCGATTCTAGATTTAACTTTGGATTGGAGATTCTTAATGTGAGTCTGGAAGGAGAGTTTACAGTCTAACCAGACACCTAGATATTTGTAGTTGTCCACATACTCTAGGTCAGACCCGTCGAGAGTAGTGATTCTAGTCGGGTGGGCGGGTGCAAGCAGCGTTCGGTTGAAGAGCATGCATTTAGTTTTACTAGTGTTTAAGAGCAGTTGGAGGCTACTGAAGGAGTGTTGTATGGAATTGAAGCTCGTTTGGAGGTTTGTTAACACAGTGTCCAATGAAGGGCCAGATGTATACAAAATGTTGTCGTCTGCGTAGAGGTGGATCTGAGAGTCACCAGCAGCAAGAGCGACGTCATTGATATACACAGAGAAAAGAGTCGGCCCAAGAATTGAACCCTGTGGCACCCCCATAGAGACTGCCATAGGTCCAGACAACAGGCCCTCCGATTTGACACATTGAACTCTATCTGAGAAGTAGTTGGTGAACCAGGCGAGGCAGTCATTTGAGAAACCAAGGCTATTTAGTCTGCCAATAAGAATGCGGTGGTTGACAGAGTCGAAAGCCTTGGCCAGGTCAATGAAAACGGCTGCACAGTACTGTCTATTATCGATCGCGGTTATAATATCGTTTAGGACCTTGAGCGTGGCTGAAGTGCACCCATGACCAGCTCGGAAACCGGATTGCATAGCGGAGAAGGTACGGTGGGATTCGAAATGGTCGGTGATCCGGTTTGTTGACTTGGCTTTCAAAAACTTTTGAAAGGCAGGGCAGGATGGATATGGGTCTGTAACAGTTTGGATCTAGAGTGTCACCCCCTTTGAAGAGGGGGATGACCGCGGCAGCTTTCCAATCTCTGGGGATCTCAGACGTTACGAAAGAGAGGTTGAACAGGCTAGTAATAGGGGTTGCGACAATTTCGGCGGCTAGTTTTAGAAAGAAAGGGTCCAGATTGTCTAGCCCAGATGATTTGTAGGGGTCCAGATTTTGCAGCTCTTTTAGAACATCAGCTGTCTGGATTTGTGTGAAGGAGAAGCGGGGGGGGGCATGGGCAAGTTGCAGCGGAGGGTGCAGAGTTGGTGGCCAGGTTAGTGGTAGCCAGATGGAAAGCATGGCCAGCTGTAGCAAAATGCTTGTTGAAATTCTCGATTATTGTAGATTTATCGGTGGTGATAGTGTTTCCTAGCCTCAGTGCAGTGGGCAGCTGGGAGGAAGTGCTCTTATTTTCCATGGACTTTACAGTGTCCCAAAACTTTTTGGAGTTAGTGCTACAGGATGCAAATTTCTGTTTGAAAAAGTTAGCCTTTGCTTTCCTAACTGCTTGTGTATATTGGTTCCTAACTTCCCTGAAAAGTTGCATATCGTGGGGGCTATTTGATGCTAATGCAGTACGCCACAGGATGTTTTTATGCTGGTCAAGGGCAGTCAAGTCTGAGGAGAACCAGGGGCTATATCGGTTCTTAGTTCTGTATTTTTTGAATGGGGCATGTCTATTTAAGATTGAGAGGAAATTACTTTTAAAGAACAACCAGGCATCCTCTACTGACGGTGACATACACTACCGGTCAAAAGTTTTAGAACACCGACTCCTTCAAGGGTTTTTCTTTATTTTTACTATTTTCTACATTGTACAATAATAGTGAAGACATCAAAACTATGAAATAACACATATTGAATCATGTAGTAACCCAAAAAAGTGTTAAACAAATCAAAATATATTTTATATTGAAGATTCTTCAAATAGCCACCCTTTGCCTTGATGACAGCTTTAAACACTCCTGGCATTCTCTCAACCAGCTTCACCTGGAATGCTTTTCCAACAGTCTTGAAGGAGTTCCCACATATGCTGAGCACTTTTTGGCTGCTTTTCCTTCACTCTGCGGTCCGACTCATCCCAAACCATCTCAATTTTGTTGAGGTCGGGTGATTGTGGAGGCCAGGTCATCTGATCCAGCACTCCATCGCTCTCCTTCTTGGTAAAATAGCCTTTACACAGCCTGGAGATGTGTCGGGTCATTGTCCTGTTGAAAAACAAATAATAGTCCCACTAAGCACAAAAGGGATGGCGTCCTTTAGTAGTGGTTTCTTTGCAGCAATTTCACCATGAAGGCCTGATTCACACAGTCTCCTCTGAACAGTTGATGTTGAGATGTCTCTGTTACTTGAAGCATTTATTTGGGCTGCAATTTCTGAGTCTGGTAACTAATTATCTTATCCTTCCATTCCTGTGGTGGTCCTCATGAGAGCCAGTTTCATCATAGCGCTTGATGTTTTTTGCGACTGCACTTGAAGAAACTTTCAAAGTTCTTGAAATGTTCCGTATTGACTGACCTTCATGTCTTAAAGTAATGATGGACTGTCATTTCCCTTTGCTTATTTGAGCTGTTCTTGCCATAATATGGACTTGGTCTTTTACCAAATAGGTCTTCTGTATACCACCCCTACCTTGTCACAACACAACTGATTGGCTGAAACGCATTAAGAAGGAAAGAAATTCCACAAATTAACTTTAAACAAGGCACACCTGTTCATTGAAATGCATTCCAGGTGACTACCTCATGAAACTGGTTGAGAGAATGCCAAGAGTGTGCAAAACTGTCATCAAGGCAAAGGTAGCTATTTGAAGAATCTCAAATCTCAAATATATTTTGATTTGTTTAACACTTCTTTGGTTAGTACATGATGCCATATGTGTTATTTCATAGTTTTGATGTCTTCACTATTATTCTACAATGTAGAGAATAGTAGAAATAAAGAAAAACCCTTGAATGAGTATGTGTTCTAAACCTTTTGACCGGTAGTATATACTTAGAGCCAGGAGTTTTCCTGACCACCTGTTTTCAAATTTTGTTTAACAACAGGTACATAGTGCAGGGGAGGAAGACTTTGGACAGCAAGAAACCATAAGATCAACGTCTTTGTCACTGTCTACTGTCAATCAAAACACTGGTGAGTTCATAGTCTTGATTGATTGATACATCATGGTCATATTCAGCTGAACCAAGTGATATTAACAGTGTATCTGCTCACTACCAAAGTAGTTGTTTAGTGGAAGATGACTGACTAGCGCGATTCGGAGCAGCCAATGTGCTTAATTTCACAGGAACACAAACACGTTTCAAGTTACAGTTTGAAAGTGAATGTGGTTGATACTGTACCTCAAATGGGCAGTGCTGTTGTCACATTAGCTGTGAATGAGTTGCAGTGTGTATTTGTGCATGCATGTACACTTAACTCATGTCACTTAACCCTTGAACCACCACCAGGCCTACAACATACACAGTCATATTCTATTCAAGGATTTAACACGTCAGGCCTGCAGTACTGTACTTCCCAGAATAAAACATGCAGGGTTGGCCAGAAATCAGCCCACACTTTTCTCAACATTTCCAGTTAGCTGACAATCTTAAAGAACAAGAATGTGAGAAAATATTAATACGAGAAACTGTGGTGAACGCACCCCTTTCTTCACACACACATACAGTGGGGGAAAAAAGTATTTAGTCAGCCACCAATTGTGCAAGTTCTCCCACTTAAAAAGATGAGAGAGGCCTGTAATTTTCATCATAGGTACACGTCAACTATGACAGACAAATTGAGATTTTTTTTCACCAGAAAATCACATTGTAGGATTTTTTATGAATTTATTTGCAAATTATGGTGGAAAATAAGTATTTGGTCACCTACAAACAAGCAAAATTTCTGGCTCTCACAGACCTGTAACTTCTTCTTTAAGAGGCTCCTCTGTCCTCCACTCGTTACCTGTATTAATGGCACATGTTTGAACTTGTTATCAGTATAAAAGACACCTGTCCACAACCTCAAACAGTCACACTCCAAACTCCACTATGGCCAAGACCAAAGAGCTGTCAAAGGATACCAGAAACAAAATTGTAGACCTGCACCATGCTGGGAAGACTGAATCTGCAATAGGTAAGCAGCTTGGTTTGAAGAAATCAACTGTGGGAGCAATTATTAGGAAATGGAAGACATACAAGACCACTGATAATCTCCCTCGATCTGGGGCTCCACGCAAGATCTCACCCCGTGGGGTCAAAATGATCACAAGAACGGTGAGCAAAAATCCCAGAACCACACGGGGGGACCTAGTGAATGACCTGCAGAGAGCTGGGACCAAAGTAACAAAGCCTACCATCAGTAACACACTACGCCGCCAGGGACTCAAATCCTGCAGTGCCAGACGTGTCCCCCTGCTTAAGCCAGTACATGTCCAGGCCCGTCTGAAGTTTGCTAGAGTGCATTTGGATGATCCAGAAGAGGATTGGGAGAATGTCATATGGTCAGATGAAACCAAAATAGAACTTTTTGGTAAAAACTCAACTCGTCGTGTTTGGAGGACAAAGAATGCTGAGTTGCATCCAAAGAACACCATACCTACTGTGAAGCATGGGGGTGGAAACATCATGCTTTGGGGCTGTTTTTCTGCAAAGGGACCAGGACGACTGATCCGTGTAAAGGAAAGAATGAATGGGGCCATGTATCGTGAGATTTTGAGTGAAAACCTCCTTCCATCAGCAAGGGTATTGAAGATGAAACGTGGCTGGGTCTTTCAGCATGACAATGATCCCAAACACACCGCCCGGGCAACGAAGGAGTGGCTTCGTAAGAAGTATTTCAAGGTCCTGGAGTGGCCTAGCCAGTCTCCAGATCTCAACCCCATAGAAAATCTTTGGAGGGAGTTGAAAGTCCGTGTTGCCCAGCGACAGCCCCAAAACATCACTGCTCTAGAGGAGATCTGCATGGAGGAATGGGCAACAGTGTGTGAAAACCTTGTGAAGACTTACAGAAAACGTTTGACCTGTGCCATTGCCAACAAAGGATATATAACAAAGTATTGAGAAACGTTTGTTATTGACCAAATACTTATTTTCCACCATAATTTGCAAATAAATTCATTAAAAACCCTACAATGTGATTTCCTGTTTTTTTTCTCTCTCATTTTGTCTGTAATAGTTGACGTGTACCTATGATGAAAATTACAGGCCTCTCTCATCTTTTTAAGTGGGAGAACTTGCACAATTGGTGGCTGACTAAATACTTTTTTTCCCCACTGTATGTGTGTGTGAAGAAAGGGGTGCGTTCACCATAGTTTCTCGTATTAATATTTTCTCACATTCTTGTTCTTTAAGATTGTCAGCTAACTGGAAATGTTGAGAAAAGTGTGGGCTAATTTCTGGCCAACCCTGCATGTTTTATTCTGGAAAGTAATGTACTGCAGGCCTGACGTGTTAAATCCTTGAATAGAATATGACTGTGTATGTTGTAGGCCTGGTAGTGGTTCAAGGGTTAAGTGACATGAGTTAAGTGAGTATGGCTGTGTAACTAACTCTGCGTTTGACCTGACTGTGTACTTCTCTGCCTACAGTATGTAGGCCTGGGAGTTCGAGGGTTACGCGGCATGTAAGAGTGTGGCTGTGTTTCTCTCTGTGTAGACCTGTCAGTGTACTTGTCTTTGTCTCTGTGTAGGTCTGGTGATTCGAGGGGACAGCATGCAGTCAGACAGTAGTGGCTACGCTGATGAAGACGTCAACTCTGCAGTCTACTCCACTGAAGGAGACAAGAGCTGACAGACAGACAAGGGTTGAGTTCCTGCCTGACTAGAGTCACAGGCATTGCTTTGCATCAACCAACGGTTGCGTGCCATGTCATCGACTGTGCAGTGGGGCATCAAATTGCTATATCATATGATGTGGTTAGGTGATGTGTTAAATACCTGTCAAGGCATTGTAGTCTGGCAGGAACTCGACCAAGGCCCTCTGGGAACTAGACTCAGGGAACTCTGTGAGTATTATTTGTATGAGTCACACTGAGAACATCTTCAGCCACTGGAGGAATATTCAACAGATCCTGATTGTTTGATTATGAAGTAAGAGGTTTGCCTCTCTGTTAATGTTAGTGTTAATGACATTATGAATCAGGTGGCATCAGTCAGTGCATTGTGAATGCTGCCACTCCTATGCAACAACAGTCCTTTGACTGAGTGCAGACAGAGTTGCGTTATCCGACGGAAGGCATTGACCTGGAGGGATAGTCCACAGCACTGTTTCATTGTGAAGAGATTGTCCTCTCTCCAAGCATAGTGTTGCTGTTGATGACAATCATTATTCGATGTACTGTACAGAAGATGCTACTGCTATGCCTTTGTGAAAGCTTTGTGAAAGTCGTTATTTATTTATTGGATGTTAATAAAGATAATTTAAACACATGCCCTCTTCTTCAACAGTTATCCAGGTGAAGTGACAATGGGGGGAGAAATGTTTTTGGTCGACAACAAAGTTTTTGGTCGACGACAAGGCCATTTTTCAATCAATGAGAACTATTTTAGGTTGAAAAAGGGTAAATGTCTTCTGCCCTTTCCCTGCAGAGTCTATGTCTCTAGGCATGTTACACCAGAGCAGGTGGGTGACTGACCATCCAAATGAATGACCAGGGTAGGCAATCAAGAGGGCATTGAGGGCTATGGGGGATATCTTCAGAGAGCGAGTTGGTCTGGGAGACAGAATCACTTCCTGGTCACTTCCCCCCCCCGGCCATGATTTTAATTTACTGCAGTGCATTGTGGAATGCGCTGGCACGGGCAGCGTCCTGATTGGGTGCGAAGCCATGGCACACTGTGATTGGCTGAGTGGATAGCTCTACCAGACACTGACATAGACCGCTCAGACTACGCTCCTCTTGAACAACAAGTCAACAAACCTACGTTAGGTTCAATACAATAAAGACCACCCATCTCTAGTCTGGTTGCCAGATCTGTTTAACTACCAAATCCTCTATTGTTTGTTGCCAGCGTCAAGCCATACATGTAGGATACTAAATACTGAGGAGCAATGTTCCCTCTCAACTGCGTGGTAGCCCCGAGACTGCCCAGGGACTGCTGCGCAGAAATATCAGCCCACAGAGAGAAGCACGAGATTGAACTTCACTCAACTTTCTAGAGCAGTGGTCACAAACCGGTTGATCTCCAAGGCATTCCTAGTCGATCGCCAAACATTTCTGTAAAAAACCCAACAAAGCCTTGTGTTCCTATTTTTTCTAATCGTCTCTGGGTGTTGGCAGTAGGTGCACCCAATTCAGCTGCCCTGCGTGCCGGGTAGGCGAACTGTTGCCATTTGAACCATTTAATCGGTCTGAAGGTACAAACTCTGTCTTCCTGGCAGGCCCAGAGAGCAAATCAAGTGCACTCTAGGCGTACCGCTGGCCAATCGGTTGGCTCAGATGACCGTGTCTGCAGTAACGTAGCAGGCATAAAAGAAAGTTGATTTAAAAAGGTTTAAAACCATGACTAGAGAGAGACTGTCAATGAATACAGCAAAGAGATGTTGTTTTTATGAGTTAGTTCATGTTTAAATTCTTACTCAGCACTGTCAACACTTTGTATTTAACACTTTTATAAGCCATAAAATGCGAGTTCTTCCTATTTCCACTCACTCTCTATTTCCCCTCAGCGCTACAACAAGCACTGCAGCAGTAATGAATGAGTAGGAAAGTGTATCTATAGGCTTGCGTTGTTGCTATTATTAGCAGCTTGGGTCTTTTTTAATATTGAGGAATATTTTACTTTCTCTGTTCATAGGTTCAACAACATGAATTTGTGCATGAGGCAGAAATAATGCGGTGCGACTCGAGTTTCGCCATCAGCTGGAAGACGGTGTCCCTTTTTGGTCAGTGTCAGTGGAGGAAAGGGAGAGCGGAGGGATGTTGAGAGGCGGACCCTCAGTTTTCTGCTCTCTCCCCCCGCTGAGACTGACCATCAGATGCAGGCACCATCAGCCCAGTAAAATAAAAATAAAAAGCAAATTATTTAAACGTATGCTCACTCAGCTGTGCTTCACAAGTAATACAACAACCGATCTATTATCGGTGTGATCATATACTGTACATGGCCACTGTTAAAATTGTAACTTAAAGCGGGTACAGCCTCAGTGTTCAAAGTAAACGCGTGCTGGAAGTTGCACAGAATTTTCAAAACGTTCAAGTTTGTGCTCAGCAGACCTGAAATTTGCTCAGTGCCGAAAATAATTAGAGGGAACATTGCTGAGGAGTGAATTATAGACATACAGTGGCTTGCGAAAGTATTCACCCCCTTGGCATTTTTCCTATTTTGTTGCCTTACAACCTGGAATTAAAATTGATTTTTTGGGGGGTTTGTATCATTTGATTTACACAACATGCCTACCACTTTGAAGATGCTAAATATTTTTTATTGTGAAACAAACAAGAAATAAGAGCCACCTTTTGCAGCAATTACAGCTGCAAGTCTCTGGGGTATGTCTCTATAAGCTTGGCACATCTAGCCACTGGGATTTTTGCCCATTCTTCAAGGCAAAACTGCTCCAGCTCCTTCAAGTTGAATGGGTTCTGCTGGTGTACAGCAATCTTTAAGTCATACCACAGATTTTCAATTGGATTGAGGTCTGGGCTTTGACTAGGCCATTCCAAGACATTTAAATGTTTCCCCTTAAACCACTTGAGTGTTGCTTTAGCAGTATGCTTAGGGTCATTGTCCTGCTGGAAGGTGAACCTCCGTCCCAGTCTCAAATCTCTGGAAGACTGAAACAGGTTTCCCTCAAGGATTTGCCTGTATTTAGCGCCATCCATCATTCCTTCAATTCTGACCAGTTTCCCAGTCCCTGCCGATGAAAAACATCCCACAGCATGATGCTGCCACCACCATGCTTCACTGTGGGAATGGTGTTCTCGGGGTGATGAGAGGTGTTGGGTTTGTGCCAGACATAGCGTTTTCCTTGATGGCCAAAAAGCTCAATTTTAGTCTCATCTGACCAGAGTACCTTCTTCCATATGTTTGGGGAGTCTCCCACATGCCTTTTGGCGAACACCAAATGTGTTTGCTTATTTTGTTCTTTAAGCAATGGCTTTAAGCAATGGCTTTTTATTTGATACACTGCAATCGGCAGTGTATCAAATACTTGTTCTCCCCACTGTATATATATACAGTGGGGAGAACAAGTATTTGATACACTGCCGATTTTGCAGGCTTTCCTACTTACAAAGCATGTAGAGGTCTGTAATGTTTATCATAGGTACACTTCAACTGTGAGAGACGAAATCTAAAACAAAAATCCAGAAAATCACATTGTATGATTTTTAAGTAATTAATTTGCATTTTATTGCATGACATAAGTATTTGATCACCTACCAACCAGTAAGAATTCCGGCTCTCACAGACCTGTTAGTTTTTCTTTAAGAAGCCCTCCTATTCTCCACTCAATACCTGTATTAACTGCACCTGTTTGAACTCGTTACCTGTATAAAAGACACCTGTCCACACACTCAAACAGACTCCAACCTCTCCACAATTGCCAAGACCAGAGAGCTGTGTAAGGACATCAGGAATAAAATTGTAGACCTGCACAAGGCTGGTATGGGCTACAGGACAATAGGCAAGCAGCTTGGTGAGGCAACAACTGTTGGCGCAATTATTAGAAAATGGAAGAAGTTCAAAATGAGGGATCAGCCCAGAACTACACGGCAGGACCTGGTCAATGACCTGAAGAGAGCTGGGACCACAGTCTCAAAGAAAACCATTTGTAACACACTACGCCGTCATGGATTAAAATCCATGTCCCCCTGCTCAAGCCAGCGCATGTCCAGGCCCATCTGAAGTTTGCCAATGTCCATCTGGATGATCCAGAGGAGGAATGGGAGAAGGTCATGTGGTCTGATGAGACAAAAATAGAGCTTTTTGGTCTAAACTCCACTCACTGTGTTTGGAGGAAGAAGAAGGATGAGTACAACCCCAAGAACACCATCCCAACCGTGAAGCATGGAGGTGGAAACATCATTCTTTGGGGATGCTTTTCTGCAAACGGGACAGGACGACTGCACCGTATTGAGGGGAGGATGGATGGGGCCATGTATCGCGAGATCTTGGCCAACAACCTCCTTCCCTCAGTAAGAGCATTGAAGATGGGTCGTGGCTGGGTCTTCCAGCATGACAACGACCCGAAACACACAGCCAGGGCAACTAAGGAGTGGCTCCGTAAGAAGCATCTCAAGGTCCTGGAGTGGCCTAGCCAGTCTCCAGACCTGAACACAATAGAAAATCTTTGGAGGGAGCTGAATGTCCGTATTGCCCAGCGACAGCCCCGAAACCTGAAGGATCTGGAGAAGATATGTATGGAGGAGTGGGCCAAAATCCCTGCTGCAGTGTGTGCAAACCTGGTCAAGACCTACAGGAAACGTATGATCTCTGTAATTGCAAACAAAGGTTTCTGTACCAAATATTAAGTTCTGCTTTTCTGATGTATCAAATACTTATGTCATGCAATAAATTGCAAATTAATTACTTAAAAATCATACAATGTGATTTTCTGGATTTTTGTTTTAGATTTCGTCTCTCACAGTTGAAGTGTACCTATGATAAACATTACAGACCTCTACATGCTTTGTAAGTAGGAAAGCCTGCAAAATCGGCAGTGTATCAAATACTTGTTCTCCCCACTGTATATATATATATATCTTTATATATATATATATATATATATATATATATATATATATATATTGAGATCATGTGGCACTTAGATTGCACACAGGTGGACTTTAT